CACGGACTAGCACAGACAAATGGGCTACAGTGTTTTTTTTCCTCGTTGCACTCGGGAACCCACTGAGGGCAGGTTTCCCTCGGGGTCTTAAATTAGCTGAAAATGTGTGTTTCGGTCTTACATTTGAAGCGTGTGTTTTTAAGACTTGCTCCTACGAGTTGTTTTTTATAATTAATAACGCAAGAGTTTTCAGTTCAGGCGTGGGTCAGTGCCTGGTTCCGCTAACACTGTTACGTGAGCATCGTCGGCTCCTTTTTAACTTTCGGAGGCGGCAGTTTTTGTTAGAAGATCAGAACGAAGCGCATTGGAAAGCGGTCAGTGCGAAACGGCAGAAGCTCGTATTGGGTTGGCTAGGTCCTTAGCATCGCGCGGTGCTAGCCTACAGTTATTATAATAAATCAATAGCTGCATAGTTGGCGTGTCTGTGTTGGCGTTTTGCAAGGGCTATCTGAGGCTTTGAGCAGGAGACAGGGTGGGACAGGGGAGCGCACCTGAGTGAAGTGCGGTGGTGTTTGGGGGTGCTCGTTCGGCACAGACTTGTTTTGTGTTTCCGTTCTTACAAAGGTTGCTTTAACGTGAGTGAATTGATGGTTATGAGGTGAACTCGGTGAATGCCTTGAGACAAACTGGTTTTAAAGACAGTTGTCTTGGTAAACTAATTCATAAGAGTCTGATGCACTGGATTCTTTTAGTATAATTTCGTGGCGAACACCGGTGTGAACTCGTAGTCCATTCAAATGGTTTGGTTTGGTTTAGTTTAGTTTGTTTGAGCAGCAAACACTCTGCTCAAAAGGAGTGGGATAATAATAATTCATATAGAATGGTATTTAGTGTACGATTAAATGATCTGTATAAAATTAAATATTAAGGCAATCTTTAAAATAAAATGCCTAGCTCCCTCACTATACTTTTGCTGGGTTGCAGGTTCTAGAATGTGATGATGTCATAGTACCCAGTTTTTTTTCTTCCTATTAACTGCATTACACTTTCACAAGTAGTATCTAAAAAAAAAAAAAGACTTAATTACAAAAATTATCATTAATATCAGTCACTGGGTCCATGATCCCTCTGTACAAGACCACACATTTCCTCAAAAACAAAATAATTTTACCTCAATATAATATTATAGGCATTTAGAACGCTGTGATGTCACAAAACCCAGCAATATATATTAGATTTATTTTTTTCAAATACTATTTGACTTAAATTTACATAAAATGCGAGTCGCCTTTAGCAGCTCATGGTCTTTAATTTTGTAATTCTAGGTCTTAAAAACATCATAAATTTCTCATTGCAAGCTGTGCAGGAACCCTACGTTGTCATTTAGTTCAAAATTGTCTTGAATCACGACAATGTCTATTTTGTATTTATTATGTTCCATATCGGTTTTCTAAGGAGTATTAATTCTAATAGCTGAATAGATCACTAATCACTCTGTCTCTTTTTTTTAGGTTCTGAATGTGGAGGTGCAAACAGTGCCCCGATTCTGTATCTACGAGGTACCAGTTACTAAAACACTACAAATTGAAACATTATCATTATGGGCAGAGACACTCGTATCCATGCACTTACTATGAATGTCCATATTCTTTCAAAACATGGAATGCTCTTAAAACTCATCTGAGTCGATGTCATGTTGATGTGTTGTGTACTAGAAGTGCTGAACTTGGAGTTTTTTTCTGCCCTTTGTGCCCTGGAAGCGAAATACCATCTAGTACAGAATACTTGTCTCACATCAACAATCACCTGAGGCGATATGAAAAAGTAACGTGTGTTTTTCAAAATTGTACATTTGAAACAAATGTATACGCTACTTACAAATCACATAAGAACAGGAAGCATCAACATTGCACTGTTCAAGACTTTAAAGTAGAACTAGTAAAAGGGGGTAATGTAAATGCACCGGAAGACCATCCAGGCGAACTTGGAGAAACTGCGTCAAACTTAGAAAGTCATGAGTTAATTGAAACTGACACACCAAATGAGAACTTGCAAGAAACAATCATTAAAAAATTGGCAACAGTTTTTTTGAAATTGGAGGTTTTTTCACATGTGCCATGTTCAGCAATTGACAGCTTGCTTGAGGAGTTGCATTTCATTTTAACTTCAGCAGCGCTACCTATATCACATAGCACAGCTTTTGACATTTTCAATAAGCATAACCTTCAGGTTGACCAGGTCATAATAAATGAGCTCAGTGTTGCCTTTTCCACTAATAATCCTCTGATAAAAGCTATTGCTAAGGGAGGTCCACTGGCAACTGCGTTCAAGCGCAAACAATACTACAAAGAAACATTTAATGTTGTGGAACCCGTCGAGTATATACTGGAGGCGAGAGCCAACAAAACATTTCAGTATGTTCCCTTACTAAAGTCTTTACAGCAGTTACTTGCTCGTAAAGATATAGTTGATAAGCTTGTTGATCATCATACAACCTTATCTACAAATGCAAACCAGTACGTCAGCTTTCAGGATGGCGAGCACCACAAAAACAATAATTTTTTTGGTGAGGATTTAAGGATTTCGCTTTGTCTTTATATTGACGACTTTGAGGTGTGCAATCCATTGGGGACCTCACGCAAGAAACACAAACTTTGTGCTGTGTACTGGGTTTTAGGGAACTTGCCTCCTGGTTGCAGCTCATCCCTTTCCTCAATCTACTTGGCACTGTTATGCAAAAGTGATCACGTTAAAACCTTTGGCTATGAAAAGATATTCGAACCTCTGTTGCATGATTTAGTGAGTCTGGAGAAGCAAGGCCTATATATTCAACACCTTGGAGTTTTTGTCAGGGGAACAGTGCAGTGTGTTGCTGCAGACAACCTGGGAGCTCATGGGCTAGCTGGATTTGTCGAGAGTTTTTCATCAAGATATTTTTGTCGATTTTGTACAGCTCAGCTCTCTGACATCCAGACACAAGAAGTGAAAACGGGAGTTTTTGAGCGGAGAACCAAGGAAGTTCACCAGCTTCACGTCCAAACAGCTCAAGAAGAGGGAAAAAGCTGCTTTGGGGTAAAAAAGTCTTGCATTTTAACTTGCAGCCTCTCTCACTTTAATGTGACAACAGGTTATCCCCCAGATATCGTACACGACCTCTTTGAGGGCATTGTTCCTGTCGAGCTAGCACGGTGCATTGAGGTGCTCATATCAAAAAAGTTGTTCACTCTTGATCACCTCAATAGTTTAATCCATTCTTTTCCTTTCAAAGAGGGAGATAAAACTAACCGGCCTCATTTGATACCAAAAACCTTTCAAAAAAGTCACTCAGTAGGTGGAAATGCCCACGAAAACTGGTGCCTTCTTCGGTTTCTCCCTTTTATTGTAGGAAAACTTGTTCCCGAGGAGGAACCTGCTTGGCAGGTGATTTTGGATTTAAAGGACATTGCAGAGTTGGTTGCAGCATCTGTTCATAGTGTACAATCAATTGCATATTTGGAGTGCAAAATATCTGAGCATCGAACACGTTATAAGGAACTGTTTCCCGATCAAAGATTGTTGCCCAAACATCATTTTCTGGAACACTATCCAGAAATGATAAAATGCTTTGGTCCTCTTGTGTCATTATGGACCATGCGATTCGAGGCCAAACACAGCTTTTTTAAGCAGGTGGCTAGGCATATCAATAACTTCAGAAATGTAACTCTGTCTTTGGCAACAAAGCATCAGTTAATGATTTCCCATCATATGCTTTGTCCTGACAATGAAAACCTCTCATTGGATGTTGGTCAAATCTCAGAGGTTCCCATTGATGTCCTCAAGGATGATGTTGCAAACACAATAACCCAAAAACACCCTGAATTAACTACTGTAAACCTGGCTCGAAGTGTCACTGTTAACGGCATAAAGTACAAAAAAGACATGAAGTTGTGCATGGATCATGTGGTGGTTTGCCAGAATTTTCAGAAATAATTCAGCTATGCATTGTAGGAAAGGATTTGAGTCTGATCATTAGAAAACTGGCATCATGGTACAGAGACCACTATCGAGCTTTTGAATTGCATCCAACTACCCAATTTGCATTGGTTCAGTTAAAGGAGCTTGCTGATCAGTATCCTCTCGCTGACTACAGGATTGGATCCTTACGGATGGTGACTTTAAAAAGATTTGTTCATGTGACAGGTAATTTCTTCCAATAAAATATACTTTGTGATTGCTCTGTCGTCGATATCTATCTATCTATATCTATCTATCTATCTATCTATCTATCTATCTATCGATCTATCGGGGGCGCTCTATAGCCCGAAATTTACAGTTATTAAAACTCAGTCACTCCAAAATGCATTGTTGTTGTTGTGAAATTAATTCTTCTTAATTCATATTTTTTTGTTTTGTTTTTAATAGAATAACACAAGATGGCTGCATCACTGAGAGTTGTACTGGGGGTGGACAACGCATCAAAACTGACTCTGCCCTGCGGGATGCCAGATTCAGTTGAGGCGCTCAAAGAAGAGATTAAAAGACAATTCAGCTTGCCTGACGATTTCAGACTGCAGTACAGAGACATTGACTTTGATAATGAGTTTATAAACTTGACAAACATCTCAGAAATCAAAGACAAGAGCACTGTGAAAGTCATTAACTTAACAACTGAATCAGTCATATGCCAACCTGTTTCACAGTGCTTGGATGACAGTACTTATACCACCGGATCAGACACAGATATTCTATCCTCCTCTGAATCTACAACTTCAGGTTCCAGCCTTAGGTCACAGCAATGGCCCCAAAATTTCCAGATACCTCAGTTTAATTATGAGGTACAGATTCAGTTGGAAAGGGCTAATCAAGACTTCCTAAACAGTGGTACATTTTTGAGCCCAAGCCCCAAACTGAAGTCAGATCTACTTGATGGCCTTGCATCAGAAATAGTCAAATATAAAATGTATCCTTCAAGCTCAGAATTAGATGATGTCGCCCAGGCCCTAGTAACAAAGTATCCATGTTTAAAGGAGCAGGGATCAGTTACCGGCTTCTATGGATGGATAATTAGTTTAAAGTACAAAATGGCAAACTACCGCACAAAACTTAGGAACATTGGCTGCCCAGAGTTGAGCATCAATGGAGTCAAACAAAGGCGAGGTGCTGTTGGAAAAGGCCCAAACCAGGTGAAGAAGCCAAAGAAAGCGGAGGTCAACTTCTGCCCTGCTTACCCAGTAAACGAAACCAAAGAAAGCCTTGAAAAGGAAAGGGAAGAACTTACGTTAGAAGTGAAGAAGAAGAACAACAACCAGCTAATCGGCAGGAAAATGGAGAAAACCTTTGCCCACAGGAGACGAGAATTAATTGAAGATATGCCCTTCATAGCTGAATTTAAAAACAGGTGGCCAGCCCTGTTTTCTGAGAATCAGGTAATGCTCCTGTTTTCTGTGGTTATATATTTATTAAAGAGTCAGACTTTCATATTGAAAACAATTCAAAACAACACTGGTCATATGTGACCAGTTGAAAGTGATGGGATATTGTAAGTTTCATGTAGGATTGTTTTCTAATCCATTTCAGATAAATGCAGAGTTTAACCGTATTACCACCGTCCCCCTGCTGTCAACCTTTATGGCTCAACTGGATCATTACTCTAGCAAACTGATGAAGGCCTTCAAACAGAAGGGAGGTGCAGCAGGACGCAGAATTAACTTGATCATGGCAGCCATGGACCAGGTGAGTGCTCCTCACTGAAACTCTGACTCAGGGGTTGAACTCTTAACATAATATGCTTGTCTGATGTATTTTTATTTTTTTTATGTATAACCTCAACCTTTTTTTTTAACTTGTTGAATTTCAATTAAGTCTAAATATGATTGATAGCCAATAGCCATATCATAAACATAGTATAAAACAATGAACGCATGACCATCATTAACACAATTTATAATTGTATTGTTTTATTCAATATTTTAACATTGAAAATTGCAAAACTACAACCATTGCTGAAATTGTATTTTTGATCTCCCACAGAGTCCGACTATTGAAACAAGACGTGAATGCATTCTGAAGGCATTATGTGTTTACTTAAATGAAGAACCTGACGACCTTGTTAAGACCTACATGGTGGGTTATGACATTGCTCAATAACAGTGTTCAACACAGCTAATTGATTTAAACAATTCAGCTTTTGAATACTGTTTTCATGTTTATAGCTCAGAAACTACTCTAGACGGCTCACACTTGTATTTATGATGTAATTTTCAATCATCACAATTCACCATAAAAATGTCCAAAGATTGTAGACATTTGAAATAATCAAAATATGGTCAAAAGTGTAAGAGTTAGAAGTTAGCTCATTGTTCATGAAACACAATTACCAGTCATTCTTTAAAACACTGGCACATATATTAATTGACAATACGCATTAATAACATGATAAATTAATATGGTTTCTTTCTGCCATTTTGAGGATGTTGATGTTGGTGCAGAGAAGGAAATGGAGAACGTTGATTTGGCCGTCTACGCTGTGCAACACGATGGAGCAGAGAGAGCAGATCCACTCGAGGATGTTGGCATTGTCATAGAGGGATGTACGGCACTTCAAGATCTGAGAGATGTGGCAAATGGCTGTGCAACCCTATTTGGCTTGATCTACTGCTTAAACTTGAGCTATCCCAAGGACCTTCAATACACTTTTGAATTCCTTCAAAAAGTGGTGATGGGATTGGATGGGAAAAAGCTCTCAAACAAGGTACAAGTTCTCAAAAACAAGCTTCATGAGTGAATTGACTCAATCAAGAGACTAGAACTGGATTTGGTTTGAATTTGTTGCCTCTTGCTGAAAAGAAAGCAAGAGCTTTGGGACTGTTGACTGATTCTGGACTACACTGTTATGGTTGAAGACTTTTTTTTTTTTTGTCTGTAATTGTTGTTTTGACTTATTCAATTGTGAAAAGTGTTGAAAATGCTAGTAATATTCAAGTAATAGACTTGAAATTTAAGAAGATGGAGTTTAATGTAAAATGGCCTGCAGTAAATCTTACCTGATACTCCAATTGAAGCATCAGAGACACTCATACCCACACACATATTAGTTTGGAGATGCAAACATGCTCTGAGACTATCTATGGGGGACATTTTCTGCAAAAAGATGACTGACTAAAAATCTACTGCCCGCCATTCCCAAGCTCTTCACTACCAACAACATCAAAGCCCAACTATCCCTGCATGCAAGCGAGCGGACACACATGATGGGCCTCCCCTCACCAATGCCTTTGCAGTCATTGGCGAGCAATGCTCGCCACTGAGAGAAGATTTCACCTGTTGCGTCCTGGTCTATTATAGATTGTTTGCATGTGCCAACCAGGCAAACACCTAGGACTGTTAGATTATTGACTATTGGCACTTCATTCTTGAGGCTTTTATTTATTTTTTTTCTTTTCCTCCGATGCAGACCTTGCATGGTAGTTGCCACAATTGCTGTGCAGTTTGCACGCTCCATTGTCTAGGGATGTGATTGGCTGTTCCTATTTGTTGTACATCCCCCGTTCATGTTTACATTGCGTGCATATCCAATTATGCAACTATTTTCTATTGAGTAATGATGTTGTGTTAAACATCATCGCGTTGCAATATTGGGGCTTTTTTATTTATTTTATTTAGCACAACCTTCAGGTTTACCAGTTCATAGTTAACCAGAAGTGAAAGTTATCTTTAAAGCTCAGCTGGCTCAGCAAATGTGGGTTTAAATAGGTGTGGCTTTTTTTAACAGAGTAATGCAAAGTATTTTTTTGTTGCATTTATTTTTATTTAAATTATTTTCAGTTTTTGTAAAATGTTCTTTTTTTTTTACTCCCACTGCCACTGTAATAAAAGCTTTGAAATTAAGCACTTGAAGCTCTATTTATTATCTATTTATTTAACCTACTGATTTAACCTGTACAACCAGGGTGTTGTATGAACATAAGCTTATCACGTTAATGATGTTAATTTGTGTTAGGTTGATCAAATTCAGTCATATTAAGTTAACTTAATGTGGTGCCATTAAATCCAACATAATGTACTTGTGTTTATTAAATATAACAATGTAATTTAGTTTTAAAATAAGAATATTAGGTTACATTTAATTAACACGTGGTGTTCACATTATTAGTGATTTTCATTTCCTATTTAAACAACACAGTTTCGTGGGACCGGTTGACATAACTTTGTTAAGTAAAATCAACATCTCATTTCTTAGAGTGTATAAAACCAATGAATTTTGAATGAATTGTCCAATGAATAAGGAATAATTTTAACATAACGACCACAACAACAAAAACATATATGTAAGTAATTGTTCTATTAATTGCATTTTCCCCAAGTTTTTGTTCACAAATAATCTAAATAACCGTAGTTTCCTAATTACAACCCTGAGAATTGCAATTTCTGGTGCAGCCTCATTCAGAATCTTGAGGATCTGGGCTCAGTTCTCCAGCTGCAGGCGGAAAACGCTCGGACAGATCGGACCGGAGAGGAGAGCGAGGCACGGCGGAGGTCAGGGAGCTCAGGAAGACTTCTAATTGGGGTGGGACGCACAGCAGAGGCGAGTGATTGGTCCAGAGCGCGTTAGCCCGGAGACAGCAGCTGGTGATGGATGTGTGTGGCCCAGAGACATACAGGATGTTAATGATATGATCCGGACATAAAATTAATACGGCTGATGGTGTTCGAGGACGTGGGGATTACAGAGCGGACCGCAATTACAGCTAGAGTTGCTAACTTTATTTATTTATGATTGAAAATGTGTTTGTCCCAATGGAATAGACTTAATAAACATGTTGTGAACAAACCAGACCAAACACACTCTCCCTATCGTTCTAAAAGCTGGACTCTTTTGCAGACTGAGGCACTATTTGAGCCTTTGGGCAGAGAGCTGAAAGGCAGCGTGAGGGGGATCAACTCTTTTTCAATTCTCTCTCTCGAAAAGCTGACGTAAAGAAGTGACAGAGAAGTGACAGAGGTCAAACATACATTAAGATTAAGAGATCCTATATTCGTCCCACAGTGGTGAAATTTCAGTGTTGCATCACAATCCAATCCAATCCACTTTATTTATATAACACATTTTATAAAACACGAGCTGCACAGATAAAAGTAACACATTAACATATACAAGTCTGCCAGCTTAAAAAATAAATTAAAAAAAGTTTTAAAAATAATTAATAAAGCAATTAACTTTATACAGTGCATAAAAAACATAAAAATATATCATAAAATAAAATAAAGGACTACACAACTCACGCAGTGTTAAAATGGGCTATATGCACGGGGAGGCGTGACGTCATTTCCTGTTAACAAAATACAGCCCGTTCACTTCCTGCCTATGCTATCCTAGGGCTTTTGGGTGGATTTTAGTGACGTTCTTTAGTAATTAGATCGATACATTCAGCTGAGACTGAACCAAAAGTGTCGCTGTGCTTTCTCTCTGAGGTAGAGCTTTGACTGTGGCCACTCAGAGCAATTTGTAAACTTTATAAAAACAAAATGACAGCACAATCAAAGAGCACTGCTGTGTCCCAAAAATGCCCAGTATCCTCACAGTGTAATTCCAGTTTGAGCATTATTTGGGAAACTCGTGTAAACCACTGCTGAACTCCAGTGAAACTCAAGCCGTTTCCCGCGAACAGGAAGTGAAGTGGGAGGTGTGTGCATAGAGCCTATCCAGAGCAAATGATAATTTGTCTCCAAGTCTGGATTGAACACATTACAGGAAGTTCTCACTGCTGATTGCAAATGAGTAAAGAAAAAACAAGAGGCGAAACTCAAAGAAGCGGTTTAAGGAATCTGAAGAGTTTAAAGTGTGTGTACAACAATCGTCACACTCACCCAGAACATCTGACTGAGTTCACTGAAAACAATATTAAAAGAATTCACCTGTGTTCAGTAGTTCTATACTCTTTAAGAAACAATAACTAAAGCAGAGACTATACAAGAAAGTCTAAAAACTGTCTTTTTGGAGGCCATTGGATTCATATACACTTTTTGATTCGTCCAATTCAAGGGACATAAGTGTAATTAATAGGGATTTATCTTGAGTTAACTATGACATTAATGTGATTCATTCTGATTAAATATGTCAGACATGTAAAACTCTAATCTGAGTGGCCCCTGAAATGATTTTAAATGATTAGACTAAGTTGCAGGATTGATGCTAATAGGCTACAATGGCGTGTTTTACAGTTCCTCTTAAAAGTCTAACTCTTTGTTACCTATTATTTCTGTTACATAATATTTGGTCCAGTTTTGGTTGAATCCACCGGAACTGAACTCATTTTGTTCCGAAAAATGTATCATAAAAGAATGTATCTGATCAAACTCATGTGAAAAAGATAATTCATCAAAATACCTTCATAATGGAAACAAATATATATAATAACAGAAGAAGAAGAAGAAGGTCAGCTCACAATGGGGAAATGTCATTTTGATGCATACTGTACACATCACTTCTGCGCTCCATACAGGCAAAGTGGGTTAAGTGTCTTGCCCAAGGACACAACGGCAGCAGACATCAGTGGAGTTGGTGGAGAAGGTCTCGTGGTGGGCTCGAACCCATGACCTTCAGGCTCAAAGGCCAATGCTCTACCAACTGAGCCACTGCAAACCACTTTTATCCTTTCGGCCCCAACCAGCGCTTCACATGTGTATTCGTACTCGACCAAAACTTTTCTGAAACATGTGAATCTTCTGTCAGCACTGATTCTGTCACATTTCATGGTTTCAAAGTTAGGAACAGCAGCTTTAAGAGAGAGATTGTCAAACTGCTCTGAAGCGACTGAAAGCCCACAACGGTCAAAGGAAAATCAATGAACTGAGGATCTACAAAGAAACAGCTCTCGCATCGACTGCTTTTCAGGCTCAAAAGAAAACATTTAGAGAATACATCTTTAAATACATACAGAATAATCTCCCTCTGTGTCTGTATGCACCGCTGTGGCCTGAGAGCGGGACTGAGAGCCTGCAGTCTTTAAAGACTTTAAAGGCCTTGAGAGGTTGAAAAGACACGAGAAACTGTAGAAGAAACATGTTTTATAAATGAATTCAGTTCTTTTGAAACCCTTTACTCTTACCTATAACGACACATTTACCATAACAGGTTGTGGCATAAAGAAGAGATGGAAAGATTACATAAGGATATAAGGCTTCTCTGTCGCCGGGTCAGAAATTATGTCAAAAGAAAGAAAGATGCAAAGAATCCAGTGGTGTTTCATCTTCTCAGATTGACGTAAACTATTGGTTACTATTTATTTTTATTTCCATTTTTTATTTTAAAAATATTATTAATTGATTGTGAAAATAGAATATATGTCTCTTGTACTCGTAGAGACACATTGACTTCTTAAATAATGTTATTGTAAATATCAAACTCTCTCTTTCACTCGATTACACCTTTCCCTCCACATCACTGGATCCACACTAATCTGCAGGTACACACTTCACCACAGCCTCTGCCTCTCCGAGCGCGTGCCGAGTCCCCATCACCGGCCGTCACACACACCGCCCCCCTCCGCGGCGAGGGTCAGAGGGTCACCACGGTCCCCACGGGGCATTGCATCTTTCCCATATTCTCGAAATTGGATTGTTGCGACCGAGGCTTCCATCTCTCAGCCCCCACCCCCCGACGGCAGCTACAGCGTGTCGTGGCAGCTACGACGGCAATGGCGGAGAAGGCCACGACGGCAAAATGGGAAGCCTGTCGTTGAGGGATCGAAAAGTACCCCGGGTCCAATTTAAATGGCAGCCATAGGTGGTAATTATCGAGACCATGTAACGGTTCAGCGGAGAGCAAAATAACCTTGTTTAGACCTAAGACGTGTTCTGCAATGTTCTTCAGGGGATATTTTTCACCCGTCTCCCCGGCGTGAATGCGTTACGGCGGTGACTGATGCGCGGCGAGAAGGCCCGGCGTCAGACTGCCGTGGATAATGGGGCTTGTCACCGCGATAAAGGATGGGAGTTAAGATTTGCGGGTTTTAAAAGAAGAAAAATCGAGTGAGATGTCGTGGGAGAAAATCAGCCTCAGTTTTCCAATCTGGTCTGCAAAGGAAAACATTTAACACTTGGACTCCCACAATTATGACACTTCCTGATCTGCCAGAGCTATTTTGACTGCTCCCGTTCAAACCAATGGAGTCATGAGAAATTATCCAAAATAGTTTTCCCCAATTTTATCAAAAGTGAGTAATTTATTAGGTTTATTCACTTTTCATACATGCTGAAACTACTGACTATACACTTACTTTAAATACAGCAAAAACAGTTTGTTGACAGGCTAATGCTAATTGCTAACAGTTCACAGTGTGGTGCTCTGGTGTTCTGGGAAACGTGTTCATCAATTTTATCAAAAGTAAGTTATTTATAAGGTTATTACTCACTTTTAATATGTGCTGAAACTATACAGTAACTTTAAATACAGTAAAAACAATTTACTGACAGGCTAATGCTAACAGCAAAATGCTAAAGACCAAACGCTAACGGCTGACAGTTAACAGTGTGTCGCTATGGTAACTAGCACTGGCTTTTCCCTGGTGCTACAATCTAACTTTGGTTTGAAACAATTTGAGCAGTCAAAATGACGCAATATTCATTCTTTAGTTTTTTTTTCATAAACATGTTGGATTTCCATTGTGGATTTCTGTGTCATTACTTTGATCAAATTGTGAGTGATATAACTCCCAGAGCAGTCTTTTTGACAGCTCCATGCATTTAATATAAAATTCAAAAAGCACCTTGTGTAGAAGTTAACACCGAAAAACCATTATCGCAAAGTTGCTCCTGTGCTTTAGTGGAGTCACCTTCAACCGTTCATTTGGAGCTCGCTGACTGTGGTGCAGAAAGGTAAGTAAGTAAGTTATTTATATAGCACCTTTCACAGACAAGACAAGGACAGTGGTGATGATCCAGGACGTTATTTATGGACATGTATAAACATTTATGGACAGTGGTCATTGTCTCTCTGTGTTTTTATCACTGCATTTGATCGGGTTTGGTTCTCTGATCTGATTTAGGGCGTTACAAAAATAAATGCAATTGTTATGTTTGGTTTCTTGCTCAATCAGTCCTCATTGCGTCTCCTCTGACAACCTAATTCAGGAAAAGAGGGGAAAAACTTTTTTGACGATAGAGAAGTATACATGTCACATTTGGCACAGATAGGGTTGCAGAAGACACAAAATGAGCAAAATTAAATTTAAATTTAATTAATTAAATTAAATTTAAAGTGACTATAGCAGTGTGAGCTTAAATTAAATAAAATGTGGAAAGGGAGCTCTGAGGGAAACCAACCTGGTCTGAACGTTACATAACTACGGAAGAGCATTGTTGTCACAAAAAAAAAGAAGAAAATATGTAAAAATAAACATAAATCTGTCCGTCTGATATTACTATATCGTAATATCGTAATTATGAGATTATTAGAGAGGGGGAGAGAAGATAGTGGAGTGAGAGGAGAAAGAACAGAGGAGGGGGAGGATAAAGGGGAGAGAAGATAGAGTAAGTAAGTAAGTAAGTAAGTAATTAGGGCTGGGCGGTATAAACGGTATAAGCGGTATGCGGTATAAATTTGGCCCACGGTAGAGATTTTTGTTATACCGGCATATTGCGATAGGTCATTATGTCATCAAATTGCGCAGGCTCTGACGCCAACAGAGAGCATCAAAACAAACCGGCATTCTGCAGCATTAGCCTAGCACTATTAGCCTAGCAGACACCACTGGAAACAACAGCACGGCTTTCACACCGTGTTTCTGTCTCTGTATTGGTCACAGCGGCCCCAGCGGAGGTAAATACACACACAGCAATCACAGTTTACATGTCTACCTTTCGGCCAATCAGTGTCAAAGGGGCGTAGGCTCGAAGCGCCATCGTGAGCCAAAATAGATCCATGCGTGTGCCGTGTCCGCATCATCTCAGAAGTTTTGTAAAGTTAGCGTCCGATTCAGACTTCCGCGGTCAATAGATCACGAAAGCTACTTTGTTAAACAAAATTAATTGTGCCAAAATGAGCATTTACATCAATTGTTCAAATCAAATGCGCTGTTTTAATGCAGATAAATCCATTGAATTATCCAGTTCACAGCAAGCGCTTAGGGAGCGTCAACAAATGGCAAGACTAGCTTTGTAAACGAACAATAGCTTTTACTGAAGCCATGCATACGCACTAAACTCTGACACTATAAATAATGACCATGTCTAACTGCTACAGATATTATATAATATATTTTATATTTTTATATTATTTAAAATTGCTTTCACAGTTAATGGTCTTTACTGTAACATACATAAATAATGTATGTTACAGCATTTGTCTCTCACCTGATTTTCAAACTCAAAAAATATATATCAGATTCTAATGTATAGATAAGTAACAATCTTGACTATTTTATGCAAGAACCTGCTAAACCTATATTGAAATTCACACACCAAATTATACCGTGATGTATACCGTCTACCGTCTGTGACCCAAATCATACCGCGATATGAATTTTAGGCCATATCGCCCACCCCTATAAGTAATGTTTATTTATATCCCGCCTTTCACAGACAAGGGTCACAAAGCGGTTTACAATTGTTATTATTTTTTTTTTGGGCATTTGTCCTCTCACTCCACACAGAGATGGGAGCGGGGTCGCCAGTACAGGAGGCGCAATGGAGAAATGGAGTAATGGAGGAGTAATGGAGAAAGAACAGAGGAAAGAGAGGAGAAAGGGGAGAGAGTAGAGGGAGGGAAGAGAGCAAGGATAGAGAGGAGAGAGGAGAAAGTATCCACACGTCGTTCTCTGTTCACCTTCATCTGTCTCCATTTTGTCCATCTCTGAGTTTCCATCTGATTCTGTGCATTTTCAAGTATTTCAGAATAACATGAAGTGGAAACAGCAAATATCGCACACAACTTTCTCCACTAAAGCTGGATTTTGAAGCAGATTTTAGAAGATGGAAGCAATTTCAATCTTATGAAGTTTCCGAGGAGCTGAGGGAGAGACTGGACTTTGCTCAATTGCCCAATTTTCTCTGCAGCCTCTTCAGCCACTCACTAAACTCACTAAAAATAAATATTCGGCCCTTGCAACAACAGTCCTGGTGAAGCGTGGGATTGTTTTTTGTAAATATATCATACATTTTTACATAATATCATACATTTGCTCTCCTTGTTCCTTCTGTGGACGGCCGTGTCTTGGTAACTTTGCAGTCGTTCGCAGCCATACTCTTTTGATGTAACTTAACGCTGCTTTAAAGTTCTCTACAACTTCATCCCTGACCTCTGACCTCTGGTGTCTCCTTTCAGAACCCTAACCCTCTACTGAGAATAGAAAATCCAAGTAAAATCTTCATGTCCATGGTTGTAAAAAATGACCCATAGTGCAAATGTTTGAGTACACCTCAAACTACTCTTTTCTACACTACACTACACTACACTACACTACACTACACTACACTACACTACACTACACTACACTACACTACACTACACTACACTACACTACACTACACTACACTACACTACTCTACTCTACTCTACTCTACTCTACTCTACTCTACTCTACTCTACACTACACTACACTACACTGCACTGCACTGCACTGCACTGCACTACACTACACTACACTACACTACACTACACTACTCTACTCTACTCTACTCTACTCTACACTACACTACACTACACTACACTACACTACACTACACTACTCTACGCTACACTACTCTTTTCTACTCTTTTATTATCTTACTCTTTTCTACTGTTGTTTGCACCGAGAGCCAAAGCTACAGTCACACAGTGAATAAGACAAAAAGACATTGATTTGATTTGAACTTTTCCACTCGGACGCTTCAGGAACTGAGTCTGGATGTTTATTCAGTCGTTTATCTAAATCCTACTGTAAACATTCACTTAAACTGATTACACTTGAAAAAGATCAAATCAAAAATTGCTCAAATTTGGTAAAATTGTATCTTAATCATAGCACATTCTGACTGAGCCTGAAAACAAGATTCTCCAATGAGACAAAGTAATTCATCTTGTTTTAAATATACACAGAAATGTCTCCCTAGAACTCAAACTAAATGTCTTTGACCCACACTGAAATAAGCATGATTTTATTAGAGAAAAAGTCTGAGTTCTGAGTTTTGAAGCTTGTTTTAAGTAGTTTAAGTAATCCCTTTTTTCCAGATAACTTTTCCTATTTTTCAGATAAAATAAGTTTGTTTCGCTTTAGTTTAAGAAAACATTTCTCAAACATGTTTAACAAATAAGTAAATAACTTTAAACTAGAATCAACTCATTTAGGGCTATTGTCATTTTCTTCAGTCAGAATGCGTCAGATTAAGATTTTAAAAGACACTCAATTCAGCTATTTTTACCTCACATTTGATCATTTTTTGCAGAATAGCTTCAGCCTACACCTTCCCGGTCTTTCTACTGCTCTGGAACAACGTGTATGAATGCACAAGAGACCAAAGAAAACAGACGCTTTCATAAAATAATCTGTTCTGACAACGACCAGAGCCACACGTCATCAAAAAATGACATGGATCCGAGGGGACTTGTGTTTTATTACTTTCCCAAAAAAAAAAACTGGGCTCAGGTGGTTGGACATGAGAGCACGTATGAAAATGGTAGAAGTAGTTACCTAGCAACCACGAAGGAAACAAGAGCTAACCCAAAGTTTGACTAATAGGTTGGGTCATGTTGCGTTTCTATTTCAGTCGGGGCCAGAACAACAGAAAAGGTTGGAAAAGATAATTATTACATTCTTTCCCAGATCATTATTAGATATTTCTCCCACTGTGTTTTTAGAGTTTGTTCTTTGCCAATTCAGGAAGCTCTAAAGACAGTGGGATGATCCAGCTTCATATTTGACAACATTTATGGACCGTGTGGGGAGAATACATTCCGTTGCAGAATACTGAATACGTGACCGAAAATG